GCACAAGAATGAGGGGATATGCTGTAAGGTGGAACTCTTCACAGGATTCCAAATTATTCAATTTAAAAGAACAATATGAACTACAGAGCCGTGCTTTCATTGTAAGCTTTGAATGCTTAATTATTATTAGATGATAAATTAGAATAAAGTGTCATGTTGTGTCAAATACTGTTTATTTCCTTAACAGTAATTTGATAAGTGGATTAAGGGAACTTGGCCTATCTGTTGAGAGAACTGTAATTATAGGAATGCCCATCCGATGTCAGGTATTTTGTAAGGTTTGTACTCTTGTTTTCTTAAATGTGTTTAATTGAATCCCTTCTGTGTGCTAGGCAATGGGCTCATGTCCCTGTTAAGGCTTTTTTGAACGCAAGGAGAGGAATTTCACTAAAACTGCCTCCTGAAGGGCAGGGATGGAGGTGGAGGGAATCTGTTGTAGAAGGAAGATCAGGAAGCAAAATGCAGCTGGGGTTCCTGAGGACAAACTAGAAATGGAAAGTAATGGATCCTGTGACTCTGTCTCTTTCATTGTGGCTTTGCTCATTCTGCCCGCCACCCCCTCCCCGGGCTCCCTTGGTTCACTACTTATCTTGATACAGTTCACATTGATGTCTTCAGCCTATATGATCTTTCAAACCTGGATTCCCATGGCTAACAGACATTTTTGTGTTTGTTAACAGCACAGAGCATGTGGCTCAGCCCAGACCTTGGATGATCCCTGCGGTCACCCAGGTGTTACGTTGCACTGCCTTTTCTGGGGGGCCTCGGGTGAATGGAGAGTGGAATGTAACTGAGTGGATAAGACATGGCCTTTGCCTGTGTGTATCCTTTCGTGAAGATAATGCACATAAAAATGCTAATTTCTATTTAATGTGCAGAGGACTTCCCTGTAAATAAAAATGTCTGAACTATCTTAGTCATCTGCCGTGTTTGGAAACTGAGGAAGTGGAGAGAGGTTTTGGGGGATACCATTGAGGGTAGATGGCATGATTTTCTTTTGGAATGATATTTCTGAGGTAGGACTCCCTAAGGGTCCAAATCATTAGTTGGATCCTTCTTGCAACTATGAAGGAAACCAAGTTCACAAAGAAAAATAAAACTTCTTAGTGTGCAGCACTGAATGCTTGGCAGAAATATTTAATATAGTTTGAGGAAATTTTGCAGTGTTTGAGTTTGGTCCATTGTGGCTAATGACTCTTGCTTGTCAGCATTTCAATTTTCTATTTTTTAAAGATTTTATTTACTTATTTGACAGAGACACAGCGAGAGAAGGAACACAAGCAGGGGGGAATGGAAGAGGGAGAAGCAGACTTCCCGCTGAGCAGGCAGCCTGCTGTGGGGCTTGATCCCAGGACCCCGGATCATGACCTGAGCCAAAGGCAGATGCTTAACTCCCGACCCACCCAGAGGCCCCAACATTTCAATTTTCTAGTGACCTCATTAAAATACTGGTAGATTCTGCATTTGCTCCTCAGCTCTATCATCATCATCATCTTGCTGCTTTTGTAACTGAGCATGGAAATGGAGCAAAACTCCAGGGGTAGATAAGAGTGTGGATAGGACATCTGTTGAGTTTCTAGTTGCTTTATACACACACACACATACATATGCACGTGTGGTATTTTATTCTTCTTAGAGCCCATAAGATAAGAATTACTGTCTCTGTTTTACAGCTGTTGCAATGCAAGGGACAGAGCGATGAAGTAAGTAACTTGCCCTAAGGTGATAGAGCTACTAGTAGTGGATCAGTGATGTGATTCTGGCATGTTTCTTCCCACTGTACTGTGCTGCCTCCAAACACACCCCTGTGCTTGTGATATCTGTTCAAGGATCGTGGTTCCCTTGTGTTCTGGGATGTTCAGCTTCTCTGATGGAACAAGGTTTTGTGTCTGTGTGGTTATAAAAACATAAGTTTAGGTACAGCCATTTATAAGCTGTGTGATGATAGGCTGTGTGAGTTAGCTCTTTATTTTTTAACCTGTAAAATGGGGCTGCCGTAGGGGCTTGGTATGAAGAATAAAGGAGCTAGTACAGTTTTTGTCACATGTGTTTCTGTAATGCAGATTCACTCGTAGCCAGTTCGTAAAGAGAGGAAGGGTGTCAAATAATGTAGAAGTTGCATTGGTTTGTCTATACCCCCAAGTTACATTAGATGAATTCAAAGTAGATTAACACTGTTTTTCTTGATATTTATCTTTGAGTAGATTTTCAACTTTAAGTTTTGTCTTTTTTTTTTTTTGGAAGATCTTCAGGAAGAGAGGTTTTGATTTTGAGGTTTGGAATGAGATTGGCATTGGTAGGGTAAGGACTCCTGAAATCATGCTTGCAGACTTTTTTTTTTTTTAATAGAAATTACATAGCTTTGAAAAATAATTTAAAAATAGTATTTCAGTTTTCAGAAAAGATATATATGTATGTATGTATGTATGTTTCTGTCCATATTTTTACCCCTAGATAGAAGAATATGGTTGCTTCTGGGTTGTGGTGATCCAATAAGACTATTTTGAAGTTGTGTTCTCTCCTCCTTTAACTTGACCTGGTTTGTTGAAAATGCTCAGTCCTTTTAGGAGCAAGCAAGGGCGGCTAATGGAATATCTTTGTTGAGTGTTGAGACACTCGTGTCTGTACATGCATTGGGGTAGTGTATCACTTTGATTATTTTAATTACAGAAAATATAGTAATATGGGAAGAAAACAACATGCATAATATGAGAACTACAGGCTCTATACTGAGTTTGGAGTTTAAATCCTGGCCCATCAATGGCCAATAAACTGACTTGAGTAAGGCAGTAATTTTTTTGGATCTCTGTTTTTCTCACCAATAATGCAGAATTATCCCCATCTGCCTCACAGGGTTCTTTTGAGAATTTGATGGCATTAGAAATTTAATGATAGAAGTATCCTGAGTGCCTCCCTCGTAGTAGCTTTTTAATAAATGTTTAGTAAGGGAACCAGAGAAGATCACAGAAATGTAGTTTAACCTGTTTTGTGCCATTAATACTCCAAATAATTTTATATTGTTACTATTTTTTAAGAGGTAGATTTATTTATCTTAGAGCACGAGCAGGAGGGGCCGAGGGAGAGGGAGAGAGAATGCCAAGCCGACTGTGCTGTGCCCCCCAGGTGCCCCATGTTGTTACTGCTTTTGTAATACGTCACTGTCACATGAAACAGAAATGGAACTTCTTCTAAGAAAAAGTCTGGTGAATTTCGCAATGTGAATAACTACTTGTAAGACAGCATTAAAAATTATTGAAAAAGGAGTGTACACGTCTCTGTAAAATTTTGTTATAATGCAGTAGTATTTTAGCATTTTCTCAAATTTGAAATGAATAGTGTGTTATATTAAGTCAGTTAAAAAACTCCTATTATATGAAATATTTAAAAAACAGACCAAAAGTACAATATATTTTACCTGCCTAGTTAGCTTTTGGGCCACTTTTCTTTGGAAATAATATTTTATATCCTCTCCTTTTAATTACAAACAAACAAAATGTATTAGCTCTTTTTTTTTAAAACCATGTTTTTCCTCTTTATAATTTTATTTGAAAAAATAAATTTGGTTACTTTTTTTCCTCTCACAGGCGGCCAAGACTAGTGAGTAAAACACCCATAGCTAATTTGCATGAGCTTGGTTACACTGTTAACGCCCAGATTTCCTTTAGTCCTGTTAATTCGTATGTGAACCCAGGGGCATTATTGCCCATTAGTCTTTCCTCAGTTATTTTGTGAAAGTCGGAATTGATGTGTAAGTGTTGTGCACTCTTTGGAGACCCAGTGCCTTGGACTTACAGGGGTGAATTTTGTTCACAGCTGGCATAAAACAAAGTATCATAATCTTCTAGTGCCTTGTTTATGTAATTGTCTGTAAAATTTCTGGTTCAGCAAAGGCTTTTTATTATCCTCAAAACTTAACCTACAATGTGCCAAGAGTCAAGAAGAAATAATAGTAAATGCTACACACCTACTGTGTGTCAGACACTCTGCTGGGTACTTTATAAATAGGAACTTTAATCCTTGTAACTCTGCAAAATGGAGCATATTGGTCATTTATTTGATGGAGGCTGGGAAAACTGCCCCAGTCGCATGGCTTTTTCCAGGCTTCATAGCTGGACCTCTCCCCACTTTTATATTCTGTATTCATGCAATCCCAATGGCTCTAGTGGAAATCAGAATGTATTTTGATAGAAAGTTAGTGATTGCCTTCTACTTAGGTACCGCCCCCCCCACCAACTGGAATAAATGAAGTGTGTTGTAGAGGAGTGGCAGAAAGATACTTAGATTTTCTTCCATGTTTCATGAAAACTAAGAGGAAAATTCAGAAATATCCACGACAAAGAGTGAGGGCAGTTAGTACTTTGTGGGCAGAGTTTAGGTTAACCAGATTTCTGGAAGGACCACAGGATTTTTGAGTTTATTATTGTGAGTGGATATTTGTGTGTGGTGCAGGTGGGGGAGTGGTGATATGTGTGCTTGGCTCTCATAAAACTAGAGGGACAACAGATTTCTTTTCCCCCTCCATGACTGTATAGTTGAAAGCTTTCTTTTATCATTTTGCTGCCATATGTGTTTGTGAAAATCAGTTGCGTTGTAAAAATTCTTACTTCCTGGAAACCAGAAACCCATTCAGTAAGTGTCCCTGCCTTGACCACTTCCTCTTCGTTATTTCTAAATGATAGTGCTGCTCTTGTAGCATTCCAGACGTTCATCTAGCTAGGATTCCTTTTTCACATTTGCTCTTTGGTGCATTTTCTCCTGTTTTATTTTGTTTCTTTGTCCTGATTAGTTCACCAAGTATAATAGAGGAGACATTTGCTTTGTTTTTTTCTTTTTTTTCTCTAAAGCAAGTTATTTTAGAGGGAGAGTTTACCAGTGATAAGAGCTGTTTATGTCCTAAGCGATTGATTTGTAATTAATGTTGCCTGGGCTCTCACATGTTGGCAGAATTGGTAACAGCTTGCAGAATTTTTTTAATTCACTTTTCTTTTTGGTATTTTGACAATGTCATTCATATCTCATGAAAAAGTACCTCAGACAGGTTAAATGTGTTAAAACATGGAATGAAAAGGATGGAAGGAGACCCAGTGCTGCCTAGAAACCTTGATCTTTTGCCAAAGTATTTAAACAATTTAGTGTTTTGGTTTCCTAGCTCCAAGCTGCTTCTCAAATCCCTTGCTAATTAATCCAGTTAATGCTTTGTAGACTTACTATATGCAGTGCTTTGGCCTGCTCGTCTACCATTGAGAGGTCCGTTTTGTTTCTTGGGGCAAACCTCAGCTCTGTTCGGGTGCAGTGATACGCAGGGGACTTGCTGACGTGAGTATGCTTTTTCGTCTTTCAAACCTTTGTTAGTGTAAGTGCATGTGCACGTTCCCTGCTCTACATTGTACTTAGGCTTAAAATTTCAAGATAAAAAAATTGACACAAAATAGAAATATAACTAGAAAACACTGTTTATACCAAACTAAAGAACTGATTAACTGGGTAAATGATGTTAGTTATTCAGTTCTCTAAGCCTCAGTTTTCTCACCTGTAAAATGGGGAAAATAATCTTTCTGGCGTTGTTGTTGTTATAATAAAATGACTATCTTAGGTGCTTAGCAAGTGCCCAGCACTTGGTAAAACTCAAGAAATGATGACTTGCTTTTATTATTGTGTTAGGATGTTGAATAAATTCTTTGGGTACTTGCTAAAATTTGGAGGAGGTAGGTTCCTTTCATCAGGTTTTCTTTTGGCAAAGGAGTTTCAAATGCCTTAATTTGTGTCCAGGATATAAAAATCAAGCACTCATTCTTTTAACAGAGATAATAAGAAACACACAGCTGTATTCTGCTTCAAACTGTGGTTTGAAGACCCATTGATGTGAATCATCAATACAGATAATTTTTTTTTTTTTTTTAAAGTTGAAAAGTAAATTTCTCTCAATTTGCTCACTTGAAAGCTTAGGTACAAAAAAAATACATGGGCTGTCCACCCACCACTCCCTACCCCACCCTGACAGTTAAATAAAACATGGATGCAAGTTCAGGAAGCCGTCACTGCTGGTGAAACTGATGATGACTTTTTGCTATCCCATTTCTGAAATCATACATTAAGCCTTTTAACCTCTGAGTATGCCCTAGTGATTCAGAATTAATAGGGTCCTCATTTGATCATTAGGGGAAATATCACCGCCTCCCTCCTGCCCAAGGATTTCAGAGAAGAAAATTGGCTGGCAAACTATGTTACATTCTAAGTTTTCCCCCTACATACATTAGCAACTTGATGAACTATCACAAAGTTAAAACATCCATGTAATTCCCACCCAGGTCAAGAAATGGAATATTAGTAGTATCTTATTAGTAGATATCTTATGTCTTATATATCTTACGGTATCTTACGTGTCTTTCCAGTGATCACCCCTTCCTTTCTCCCTAAAGAGAACCATTATCTTCTAACAGTATTGACCATTTTTGCCCAGCTTTGAACACATGTAAGTGGAATCATATAAATAAGTATGAGGGTATTTTGGTTTTTTTTTGCTAAACACTAAATTTATGAGATTATCTTTGCTGTGTGGTCCTGTGATTTGCTGGTTTCATTCATTGCTGTACAGTGTTCCATTCCCTAACTATGTCATCATCCATTCATTCTTTTGTCGGTAGACATTAATGTTTCCCCCTTGTTTCAGCTATTTCGAGTAATGTGGCCGTATGTCAATATTGAGACTCTGTCTGGTGCTTACATACTCACATTTCTGTTCTGTTAATATAATTAGGAGTGAAATGCTAGGTCCCAGTGTGTGTTTAACGTTAACATAAAATGCCAAGCAGTTTTCCAATGTGGTCGATCCTTTTGCCTTCCTTCGACGTGTGAGCAATTCTGTTGCTGTGTCTTCACCAACACTTAATGTAAAACGTCTCTCCAGTTTTTGCCTTTCCCGGTGTTTGTATGGTGTATTTCATTTGGGTTTTAGTTTGCATTTTCCTGATTACTAATGAAATTGAACATCTTTTAGTATATTTATTATTTGGTTATCTTTTTTCTTTTTTGTTCTTTGTGTATTTAAAGCCCTTTGGTAGTTATATCTATATTCTGTTCTCTGGTTTATCTTTTCCACTTTGATGGAGTCTTCTGCTGAACAGAAATTTTTACTTTTCATGTAGTTCAATTTATTAATTTTCTTTATGCTTAGTCCTTTTTGTGTTCTGTTTTAAAACTCCCTATTCCAGGGATTTAAAAGATTTTCTCCTATATTTTAGAGGTTTTTTTAAACATTTTACCTTTCACATACAGTAAATTCACCTGGAATTGCAATTCACCTGGAATTGATTTTTTTTTTTTTAACGCAGTGAGGTATAGGGTGGCAGTGCCAAAAAAAAAAAAAAAAAAGTTGCTGACTCCTTGCTGTATATGATTTTTAATTCTTTGAAATTTGTTGGGTCTTGGTTTTTGACCCAGAATTTGGTCAATTTTTGTAAATATTCCATGTGTATTTTAAATCAAGTATATCGTGTGGTTATGGCTATAGTGTTCTATGTCAGGTTGATATTTTTCCATTCATCTATGCCCTTAGCAATTTTTTGTCTTCTTGTTCTTTCACTTGCAGAAGAAATATATATTAAAATCTCATTCTATGATTATGGTTTTTTTTTTCCTTTATCCTCATAGTTCTGTCACCTTTTTAAAATATTTTTTGTGGCTTTATTGTGGTTGCAAACTAATTTGGAATGATTTCTTCCTGGTAAATTGAACCTTTTATTATGAAATGACTTTTTACATTTAGTAATTATTTTTGTCTTAAAGTTTACCTCAACTGATATTTTAAAAACTTGAGATATAATTTATATACCATAAAATTCACCATTTTAAAGTATACTAGTCCGTGGTTTTGTAGAATATTCACAGGGTTGTACAATCATCACCACTACCTAATTTGAGAACATTTTTATCCTTTAAAAAGAAACCCTATGCCTATTAGCAGTCTCTACCCTTTCTCTTTCTCCCCATCCCTTGGCAGCCATTAATCTACTTTCTGTCTTTATGGATTTGCCTATTCTGGACATTTCATACACATTGTATCATACAATATGTGACCTCTCATGGGGTTTGTTTACTTTCACATATCATAATGTTGTTGAGGTTTATCCATGTTATAGCATGTATTACCGCATTCCTTCTTAGGGCTGAAGAATATTTCATATGGCCTCCCCTGATCTCAACTCCTTTCTTCTCTTAATCACCATCCTAAGTTTATAGTGATCACTTTCTATTTTTCTTTATCATTTTATCACTCAGACGTGCCTCCTAGCCACCATCGCTTGGTCTTGCCCATTTAAAAAATTTTAATGTGTCACTTTATTTATTTTAAAGATTTTATTTTATTTTTAGAGAAAGTGTGTGAGCAGGAAGAGGGGCAGAGGGGGAGAATGTCAAGCAGACTCTGCTGAGCGCAGAGCCCAAAGCCAAGATTGATCCCACTGCCCTGAGATCATGACCTGAGCCAAAACCAAGAGTGGGACCCTTAACCAATAGCCACCCAGGTGCCCCTAGATTTTTTTTTTTTTTAAGATTTTATTTATTTATTTGACAGACAGAGATCACAAGTAGGCAGAGAAGCAGGCAGAGAGAGAGAGAGGAGGAAGCAGGTTCCCCGCTGAGCAGAGAGCCTGATGCAGGGCTCGATCCCAGGACCCTGGGATCATGACCTGAGCAGAAGGCAGAGGCTTTAACCCACTGAGCCACCCAGGCGCCTCGCCCCTAGATTTCTTTTAAACTAGAAGCTTACCTTCTGTCGCTTTCTTTTCATTGAACTTTATCTGTTGAAGAACACCAGGCATGTGACTTGTAGAAGTTCCCGTAGTCCATATTTTGCTGATTGTGTACTCAGTGTGCATTTTATCGTGTTCCTCTTTCTTTTGTATTTTCTGCAGATTGGTTTTTGGGTCCAAAGACTTGACTGGAATCATGTTTGATCTCTTTGTCAGGACATAGGTGGTATGTTTTTTCATGTGGAGGCATCTAATGTCTAGTAATGTCTAGTTACCTCTGTTTTTATGTTAACAGCTGTTGTCACTCACTGTCTAAATCTATTAGTAGGACTGCTTGTACAAGGAGACACTCTCCCTTGTTTACTATTTGGTAAATGTGTTACTGGTCTTGGGTAAAGGCAGGGGAAATGGTTGTTTCTTTCCCTTTATTTGCCAGTTTTCAGGATAATGAATTAATTTGTGTTTTGCTGCTGCTTTGCATGCCTGGTAATCTTTAATTGGATGCCAGAAATAGTGAACTTACCTTGTTGGGTGCTGGATATTTTTGTATTCCTATAAATATTAGTGAGCTTTGTTCTGGGACACAGTTAATTTACTTGGAAACAATTTGATCCTTTTGGGTTGTGCTTTTAAGATTTGTTAGGGCCAAAGCAGCATTAATCTGGGACTAATTATTCCCTACTACTAAGGCCAGACCCTTCTTTGTACTCTATCTGGTGCCCAGTGAATCATGAGTGTTTTTCCAGGCTAGCTGGAAGAAACAGTCACTATTCTTGGCCATATATGAGTGTGGGCACTGTTCCCTCCAATTCTCTTGGATGATTCTGTCCTTATCCTTGGGTAGTTTCCTTACATGCACGTGCAGATCAGCACTGTCCTGATTATTCAGGGGAGGCTCTGAAGGTTTACCAGAGGTGTCTGGGCAGCTGTTTCCTTTCTGGTGTTCTTCCCTGCTAACTCAAGTCACTTTGAGTTCCCTTTACCCCCTTACCTGTGTCTCTTCAATTCAAGGAGTCTGTTGGGATCCTCCAGGCTTCACCCTCTTGTGCTCTGGCCTGGGGACTTGGCAATAAGCTGGTGCAGTTGTAGGCATACTTCATTTGTTTCTCCTTCTCAGGGACCACTGTTGTTCATTTCCTGATGTCCAGTGTCTTGAAAACTTTGTTTCATGGTTGTGTTTTTTTGTTGTTGTTCAGGTGGGAAGTAAATCCTGTCTCTGTTACTATTCCATTTTGACCCAAAGCCAGGTGATTTTACTAGACGATGTGACGGTTGGATGTTCTGGGTCTGTATTCTCCGGTGCTAGGTGTGCTTTTTCAATATGTGATTTCAAGTCTTTTTTTTTTTTTTTTAATTTTGAAAGTTTTCTTGAATTATTTTATTATTTCCTTGCATTTGTTTTCTTCTTTTTGTCTCTTCTTATGCATCTGTTTGATTTTCTTTGCTTCTCTTTAGTATTTGCTACTTTATTTAGAATTCTTTTTATCTGTTTCCTCACTTTTGGAAATGACTCCCCTCTTCCCCCTTACCTTCTGTTTCTCTTCAGGCATTATCTGTTGTGTTTGGTTTTTGTGTTTTCTCTAATTAGTTTTCATATACTTTTTTCCTTTTAATTCTGATTCTTCCCTGACTTCTTTACCTCATTTGTACATTTTTATAATTCTGTCTTATGTTCTTTCATGTCTATACAATTTTCTTAATGTATTTTAGCTATTTTGAAATAGAAATTATAGTTTTGGTTATTATGTGGTCCTCTCTTTCTGGCTGTAGGGATATTAGTCTGATTCGTACTCTGACTTATCTTATTGTAACTTTCTATGGGATTTTCTTATCTTTTTTTGAAATGATCCTTATTTAGAGAGGGAGAGAGAGTGGGGGGGGAGGAGGCAGAGGGAGAGAGAGAATCTTTTTTAAAAAAGATACTTATTTTTTTGAGCGAAAGTGCATGTGAGTGAGGGGGAAGGTTGGGGGGAGTGGGACGGGGAAGGGGAAAGAATCTCAAGCAGACAGCGCTGACCACAGAGCCTGCCACGGGGCTCAATCTCATGACCTTGAGATGATGACTTGAGCCAAAACCAAGAGTCAGATACTTAACCACCTGGGCACCCTAGAGGGAGAGAGAATCTTAAGCAGACTCCACATCCACAGCAGAGCTTGATCTCATAGCCCGGATACCATGACCTGAGCTGAACCTATGGGATTTTCTCTTAACACGTTTCTGTTGCTCATTTTTATGTGAAATTAATTCTCCTCTAATGTTAGGAGGAGAAGCAGTTAGGTGGTTTTATAACTTCACTGGACTCTTTCTACTGTTATTTCATGTGGTGGTTAAAAGTATATGATGGTTTGCTGTGTAATTTCCCTGGCTCTCACTTTCTCTCTTCTCTCACTTTCATCTGAACCTTCTCTTTGCATTGCTTCCTCTCTATTTTCGCAGTTCAGTTTTGGTTCCACTCCCAGTAGGTTCCGTTTACTGGAGGCCCTTATCCCTTACATGAAGATCTGGAGTTTCAAAAACTGTGCGGCTGTCCACGAGACTTCTCCCCAGGATATCCTCTTCATCTTTGATATTTTCATTGGGTATAAAAATCTAGTTATCTGCAGTCATTTCCCCCCCACCAAATCTTAAAGCTGTTATCTCTTTGTCTTCTGGCTTCTATTGTTTGTACTGGAAAATCAGTCATATGTCTCATTGTTCCTTCAGTGGTAATTTTCTTTTTTTTCCTGGCTGCTTTGAAGGTTTTCCTCTTCATCTTTTGTTTTCAACAGTTGTGGTATGTTGTTTTGCTTTGCATTTGTCCTACTTAAAGTCTGGGGTACTGCTCGAATCTAGGATTTGATTTTTGCCATTAATTTTGGGTAATTCTCACCATTATTTACCTAACTATTGCTTGTAATCCTAGTCCGCCCCATGTTTAAACAGTGTTATTTTAGTGTCTGTGTGTTTTAACACCATTATTTGAATCTCTTCTGGGTCTGTTTATCTTGCCTCTGTGACCCTGTAGTTTTCAGTCACTTTACTTTTATTTCTGTTTTCTTGGTTATTTTGTTTTGTTTTGTTTTGTTTTGAGTGCCCATTATTATATATTCAAAACTGTAGACCTATTTTAAGGCCTAGAGTAAGGATTTACATTTATTGTTGGGATTCAGGCTAGGAGCACTAGCATTCTCCCATCCCTTTACCCCATCCTTCCTTCTTTCCCAGTCAAGGATTTAGATGATTTGAAGATGTGCTTCAGTCTCTGTGAGGATTCATCTATTTCCTTTTCACTTTTCTCACGAGAAGTTCTAATTATCTGGGGTCCCAACCCAAAGCCCGAGGTGCTTCCTGGGGCCTCCTCCCTTTTATAGGCCCTGAATTCCAGTTTTGTCCTCTTAACCTGTTGGTAATTTGAAAACTCTGATCAGCTTTTAGCCTCTTACTTGCTTCTCCTGGAATCAGCACATGTCTTTAGGAGAAATGTGGCCTCAAATGCTATAATAATTTTTTTTGAAGATTTCTTCTCCTGGATCTTGGCTCAATGTAATTTGATACTTTTTTGGTAATTCTTTGATGCCTTTGAACAGTTGCTCTTTTTTATATTTTATTCATCTGTTCTATTTTTTTCTGAATAGGAACATTGATCTAAATCCTAATTCACTTTAACTGGAGTGGAAATCCAGCTAGCTTTTTATAAGGGAGCCCTTTATTCAGGCAGTGGTTTAAGTTGGTTGTAATGTATCCTAATTCTAACATTTGCTCTTCGAGGCAGATGGTATTATTCCCATTTTCCTTACGAGGAAACTGATGCCTAAATAGGTTAATGAAGTTGTCCAAGGTCAAAAAATCTTTACCTTAAGGCACTAAATAATTCCATTCCGGGAGACCTTCTCTTTCAGGCTTTGGACTTTAGGATAACAAGTACCTTGATATTATATGGTAGGTACACAAGAAATCTCAGTGATAGAGGAACGAGTCCAAAGAGGATGAGTGTTCTGTGGGTGTATATATATGGAATGTAGACTCTAGAAAAACCTATAATTAATTTTGTGTGCATGAATAATTGGGTGTGAATCCTCCCACACAATCAGTTAAGTTGTATTTAGCTATTTTTCAATGTAAAAATCATCTTCCAAGTATTTGTCATACATCACAAGCTTTGATTTCTTGTTGAATCTTTGTATATAATTTTCCATCCATACTGTGTGATTAATCATGGGTTTGTTAGAATTACAGAAATTATTTTCCAGCTTTAAGTTGCATTTAAATTACTTTAGAGTTGTACTTTATAGTTTGTTATCTGTTTCAATACTGCTTGGGATCATATTGAGTTTGAGAGAGGAGTTTTTAAAGCACTTTATGGTAGATCTCCCAGCTAAGAGAATCTAGTTGTTGTTTGAACCTTAGAGCTGATGCAGAGTCACCTGCATTCACATTTCTTTGGCCACTACTTCCATGGAGAAGGCCACTGCAAGCTGTGTGGCAACAGGCAGGGGTTTAGAATTCTCTTCAGGAAGGAGCAGTGAAAAATTGGGTACAAAATTACAGCCAACCACATCTTCCTTTCCAGATGATACTTTCATGTGATAAGTGTTTCTAATCTTGTAGGATTTGAGCTAGTTTACCTTATTGATTCTAGGACACATTTTCTCCCATAGTTTAATGTCTGATGTCATGATGTATCTGCAATAGATGAGATCTTGTAATCACTGCAAGCCACGCAGCTGTTCTGATGTCATTGCCTAGGCATGGAAGAACTTGGCTGTGAGTCCCGGTGGTACGATGGGACACCTGCAGCTACGGACATTTCAGGATCATTTGAGAAAGTAATTTGAGGCATGATTTTAATCTGAAAACTTTCTGTTGACCTCTTTTTGCAAGATCAGCATCTATTACAGACTGGGTGTCAGCAGCTTGGGAAAAGTCTCGGAGGCAGTAACGAAAGGTTTAATTTTGTTTTGGAAAAGCCGCAATATTAAGCGCTCCTCATAGCTCAATGGGTGATACTGTGTGCAAAACCTGGATTGAGGACTCTGAGCTGAAAAGCGATTCAGAAGAGTTGCTTTCCTTTGTGAAAAAATTACAGGAATACTTTGACTAATTTATTGTGCATATATTTTATGTTTTATGTATGCACAGTGGTGTCGGATTAAAAAAGTCTGTTCCAAACGAGTAAGTTAATTTTACATAAAAAAAACCATTGTACTCTAATTTAATTTTCCCTCCCTTTTTTTTTGGGCGGGGAGGGGGTGGATAGTAATAGCCTTAGTGCATCTTATTCTCAGTGGTTTCTTAGATTCAGTGAAGAATGATAACTTGCTTCTTGCATACTTAAAAAGATGTTCAGTATTTATTGGGTAAACAGAGCCAAGGTTTTTTTCTTAGAAGACTTTCTTACAGTGTACATCTTGATACTAATTTTGAACTAAGTTATTCATTCTAGTTTTAAATAAGATTTATAAAAGATGGGTTAGTAATATTAGTGTTCTTGAACTGAAGTTTCATTATTTCACCATTGTTTGGTAGCACACAGTGAAGTTAACCTTTTTCTCTAAAAGGATAATCTTTTGGTAAGAAGATGACTTTTATTTTCTAATTTAATCTTATTTTGGGAGTAGATGGCTAAACCTTCTCTCTTAAAACAACAGTTCGTAGTGGTAGATTGGGAAGTATGCTGGTGTCAGGAAACGGTTGGCTTATACATATATAATAACACACATGGAAGAATATTTCTGACATCTTTTTTTTTTTTTCTCTTTGTGGCCCTCTCAGTCTTGAAGTTACTTACATGATTTATTATTTTTTTTTAAAGATTTTATTTATTTGAGAGTAAAACACTAGAGAGCATGAACTAGGGTTGGGGGCAGCAGGAGAGGAACAAGCAGGCTCCCCACTGAGCAGGGAGCCTGATGCAGGCTCCATTCCAGGACCCTGAGATCATGACCTGAGCCAAAGGCAGAGGCTTAACCCACTGAGCCACAGAGGTGTCCTGAAGTTACCTGTGTGTTTTGAATTTAAATTATATACATTATTTAAAAAAGTTAAGTGATATGCAGTCTCTAAGTGATCTTCCAAATCTAAACCTTGACAATAGCAAATCGAGAAGACGCCTTCTTCACATTCTGTGCAGCAAACTATAATGATGCATTATGGTAGAATTTACAGAGATGAGTTGAGCAACTCCTCTGCCTTCAGAGAGCTTGAAATCTCTTGTTGGCAGGTGGTTGAGAGTTAAGCGTATTGGTATCCCCACTCTGGATTTGAGTGGCAATGTGGTTTAGAGGTCAATGGCATAACTTTTGGAGGGTGTCTAGATCTGAGTTTGAATCCTGATGTTCTCCTTTGTCAGCTTCTGCAAGGTACTTTCCCTCTCCAAGTACAGCTTCTTCAGTAGGGTGGTGGTTTTGAGCACCCAGCACATTGTAGAAGCTCAGTAACTGTTAGTTGATGCTGTATCGTATTCCTCGTTCTCACCGTCATAATTCTCATCTGCATTTCAGTGTCGTGAAAGAACTTTGATGTCAAATAGGCCTGACAGGATTCCAGTCTGTCTCTGATATTTAGTTAGGTGTGTGGTATCACACTGTCTTCTTGAAGGCTCCTCTCGAATTTCTTTCTTTCTTTTTTTTTTTTTTTTTAAAGATTTTATTTATTTATTTGACAGAGCTCACAAGTAGGCAGAGAGAGAGGAGGAAGCAGGCTCCCTGCGGAGCAGAGAGCCTGATGTGGGGCTCGATCCCAAGACCCTGGAATCATGACCCAAACCAAAGGCAGAGGCTTTAACCCACTGAGCCACCCAGGCACCCTCGAGTTTCTTCTTATGGATATTGTAGACTGAACTTAGGCTTTTGCCCTCAAACTTGGCTCCTTCTACAGCTTTCCCATCTTAGAGTTGTTTGTATCGGAAACCTGGGAGTCATTCTTTCTGTCTTTGTCTCTCCTCTCACTCATTCATCTTTCATGTCCAGTTCTGTCTCTTGCCTCAAGTCTTCTAGCTTCACTTCCATTGCCATCAAAGCCTGTACCATTTCTCACTCAGACAATTGCTGGGGCTGCCTACCTGAACTTCTATTCGGCTTTGCCTAATTACAGTCCATTCTCCATGGAACAGCTAGAGTAATCTTTGGAAAAACATATCTGATCCTCTTCCCTCCCTCCCACTCCTTCTCATTCAGAACTTTACAGTGGCTTCCTTTTACACCTGAATAAAGTCCAGAGTCCTTCATGTGCCTGTGAGAACCGACATGGGTTGGCACCAGAGTCTTCTGGCTTCGTTTCCCTTGTGTTCAGTGGTTGTTACGCTGGGCTTCTTTGATTTCTTCTTTTGACCCAAATTCTTTCCTGTTTCAAGCGTGCTTCTAGTCCATGCTCTTCCTGCCCTCCACCCATATCACTTTTCCCACTTTTGTCTAATTCCTTTGCATCCTTGAAGTCTATGCTCATGTGATACTTCTTTTGGAAACCTAAAAACCTCTCAGTCTAAGTTGAATCTCTCTTTTATGTGCTGTCATAGCACGCCCGCTTTTTCTCTGTAGCGCTTACCTCCCATTTAAGATC